ACATGCACCACTCTGATGGAAAGTAGATGATGATCCGCCCATAACAGGAGACTCGCAGCCTGCTTGAAAAGGGCTCTGAAGCGCATGCTGCCTTGGCAATTTATGTATGAAACCACAGACATGTTGTCGGTGCGAATCAGCACGTCAAGCCCATAGGGCTAAGGACACCGCCTTCAGTTCAAAGCAGTTTATGTGCCACCTGCTCTGAGACTCTGACCACAGGCCTGAAGTCGGTACGCCCTCGCACACTGCTACCCAGCCTGAAGTTGACGCATCTGTCGTGACCACAGTGCATGCTGTCACTAGTCCAATTGGAACCCCCCTACTGAACATTTCTGGGTCGCACCACGGACTCAGAGCGCTGATGCAGCTGTGTGTGACTTCGATGTGCATACGTTCCGCGGTCCATGCTGTCCATGGGACTCGAGCTTTCAGCCACAACTGTAGCGGCCGCATGTACAGAAGACCCAGGTGGCAAAGTGATGATGCCGATGCCAAAAGTCCTAGGAGCCTCTGGAATTCCATCAACGCAACAGACTGACCCGGTCTGAAGTGGCGTAGAGCTGAAGAAATGGTCTCTATGCGTGCTCTCTCTCTCGCTCTCTCTCTTGAGAGAGAGAGAGAGCGAGAGAGCGAGAGGTGAGCTCGCATCTCCACCGAGTCGAAAAACACACCCAGATATGTTAAAGATTGACTCGGGGTGAACATGCTCTTTTGCAAATTCACACGCAGCCCTAGAGACTCTAGATGGTGAAGCAGCGTGTCCACATGAAAGATAATCACATCTCTTAAATAGGCTAAAATCAGCCAATCGTCCAGATAATTTAGAATGCACATACCGCTCGCTCTGAGAGGGGAAAACGCTGCATCCATCCATTCGAGAACATGTGCGGGGCTAAAGCCAGCCTGAATGGGAGAGCTGAATACTGGTACGCTGTGCCCTCGAATGCAAACCTTAGGGAAGCGCCTGTTGAGGGACACAATCTGAATATGGAAATGTGCATCCTTCAGATCTACGTATGCAAACCAGTCCCCAGGATGGATTTGTGCCAGGATTTGCTTCAGAGTCATCATCCTGAACTCATGCTTGTGAAGTGCTGGGTTGATGGGTCTCAGGTCCCGGATCGGACAGAGTCCCCCATCTCTCTTGGCACCACAAAGTAGCATCTGTAAAACCCGCTCTCCAGCTCGCTCGGAGGGACTCGCTTAATCGCTCCTTTTGCAAGCCGGCTGTGAACCTCGTCTCAAAACAGGGGCATTTTGAGGCAATGTCAGTGACGGAACCATGCTGTTGAAATGGGGTGGCCAGCGTCTGAACTGGAGAGAATACCTGTGTTCTATTATGCCCAGCAGCCAGCAAAAAGCTCCTGGAATAGCTCTCCATGCATCTAGGAACTGACATAACGGCCGCGTCTCTCTGGTCGCTATTTCTAGCAGCAATATTCATATACTGGAGCCTGCCCCCAGCGAGGCTAAACGCACTGGCGGGGAAATGGCTCGTGGAGGCCATAACAGGTGCTCTGAGGCGGGGTGAATAATTTAGTATAAAATCGAATAATTTAGTATAATTACGAATAAACCTCTTTTTGAGAGAGCGCTTGTGTTTTTATTGTGCAAACAGAAACATGAACCTTGCATTTTACATCTGCAGGAGCAAGGGGAACATAATGCAGGATCTGGCGCTTGGGGGCTGGGCCTCCAGCGAGCTCTCTCCTCCTATTTGCAAGTCCGTCAGGACGAAAGCTTGGCAGCCGAGGGCTGCTTAACCGTTCCCTGAGTGGAGCAGGGTGCAGAAGAGGAGCGTGATCTCGACGGTGGATGGAACACATGCCGGGGCATCACGTGACTCATTGCCTTTGCACGCTTTTGCGCCTCAGAGAGGTGCTCGATAACAGACTCCACGGCATCAACGAAGAGGCCAGAGGGAGTGATCTGCACATTAAGAAGCGCCTTACTGTAAGTCTACAAGGCTTGGAAGGCTGACTGAGGTCTGCGCCAAGCGTGGCCGAGGAAGGGCACAGATGTGTAGACTGTCTCCTTGACGGGGGGCATACGCACATAACTGTGGGCCTAGAATCCACTCCAAAACATGGCCTGAATTTTGGACATCAGAAGAACAGAACCCTCCTCCTCAAAGCAGCCTGGCGGTGGCTCTACTGGAAGTATCAGGAGTCGAGCCTACTCCTGGCAGGTTCCTCTGCCCAGTTGAGGTTGCTCAGGGCAAAGGCTCTTGTCAGCAAAAAGGACTGGGGGAGGGCCCCGTACCCATAAGGCCATGAACGGTGCTCCTCCGAGTCCTCAAACACGTTTCAGCAAGTCAGCGAAGAACACACAGTTGGACTCAGAGAACGTAGCCTCAATGTGGGCCAGGCACAGGCAGAGGTCATTTGGGTCCAGCGGGTCGATGGGGCCCGTGCAAATTTGATAGAAGGTGCCATCGGATGCGGTGAAGAAGTTGCTTTCGCCGCATTTATACTGGCCATGAGCTTGTGAGTATTTGCATGTGATTTGCATAAGTAGCGACAATTGGCCAGTTTATTGAACTGGTGTTAAAGGTTTCAGGAAATTGGAGAAGGGGAGGAGTTCCCACAGTGATTCTCGCAGTATAAAGTGAACGCTCGATAGGGAACAACAGATATGTCTGTGATTGGCTAACGCTACAAAAACACAAACACAAAATAGAAACATTTGATGCTCTTCAGAGCGCAAACACATGCACTGGAGCGATTGCCAGAAAAAGAGTTCGCCAATATGCTATTATTTTGCAGTTTTAACTGAGGGTGCTACTGCTTTCGTTTGAGGCTACTTTGCTTAGCACCCCTGAAGAACCCGACCTGGACAAATGTAAATAGGCACTATGTAGGCTACATTTAAAAAAATCCCTGGCTCACAAATATTTCAATCCAAATACTGCATAACCATGCCACGGCGGGCCAGACTCAAAAAACGAACCCATAAAACCTTACCTTGAATGGCTGATGTCTATTCTAAACAAATCGTAGTCGTCTGGGTTTTGAATTGAAGATGTTGATAATTTCGTCATAATTAAAATTTTCTGTTAGAATAGGTGGTTATTTTTATAATAAACATTCAAGGGAGCTGCTAGTTCGAATCCAGACAGACAGAGCTATCGGCACAAAGAACATAACTACTGGCTAACCTAACTGAAGATACTAATTAGCATATTGCTATTATCATTATATAATTCTAATGAAACAAATGACAACACAAATCACATTTAAAGTAATTAAAACCCCTTAACTGTGACTCACATTTTTGAACATAGACGTGAAAGTGCATGATCCAAACTTACATTTTTATAATTCATGAACGAAAACATTTTGTAACATGATATTGATGTACCATTTTCATGGTAATGCAATGTTTGATTTTAAAATGGGTTTCAAAGGATGAATTTTGAGATTTCAAGTTTTCAATTGATATATAATTTCTGATGATTTCTAAAGTGTGATAGAGAAAAAGGCAACAAAGAAGACTTTTTTTGACAAAGGTCAGACATCCTGTTATGTAGATTTTTGAGGTGCACTCTTGTCAAAAATTAATCTATTACTTTTCCTACATAATTTTTAACAAAAACATTGGTAAAATATCTATTTAGGAGTCTTAGACCTTTCCAACGATATATAGTTTGTCATGATTAGATTAGGATTTAATAGTAATATAGTGAAGTAAACTTAGGAGTCCCACAGAGGGGACGGGTGACAGTTAAAGGGTTAATGAAGAATTTAAACATTCAAATTATATTATGGAGAAAAAAATCTGTATTTCCATGGATCTGACTGGGTAAGCAAGCTGTCAGCCCAACCGTAGATCTGCCCCTGATCACCAAATACACAAGAAACCTCAAAGTCAAGGTGAAAGAAACTCTTAAACTATCACAAAATGTCCTCCAGAGACTCATATTTATATGAGGAAGTCAGTACGCATTAACTCACCTTGATCAAAATACAAGATACAGGTTCTCAAATCGTCCAGGTAACATCATAAAGCTACACAGAACTCCCTGCAGAAACTTTGATAAACGTTTCTATTTAACACTTTGATGCTCTGTTTTTCAGTGTTGTATCCGTCATTTACCTGCTTAAAATGGCGACAGAACAACTTTCACTTTCACTTTTTAATTGTGACGCAAGAGAGAGAGAGAGAGAGAGAGAGAGAGGGAGGAGCCATGCATGAGCTCTTAGATTTTCTTCTTTGTTTGCTATTTTGAGATGAGAAATAGATCAAAAATCTACCAAATCTGTGAGAATACCACATAAGCCTGCAGAAGTGAACTTTGATGAAAAGAACTCAACAGCATTTTTGTTTTAAACAGTAGCGGCTCCCGTAGTAATTAGTAATCGGCCCGAGCTCGGCTGCCCCACGGCGCCTGCGGCTTAGACTCGGCATCGGCGTGTATCATCCGGGCCGAGTGTGGCCCGCAGCTCGCTCTGGTGCATGTGATTTTATTACGGCTGTAAAGCACTGGGCCGATTCCTGTTCACCGTAACTGGCCCGAATCTGGCTGTAGAGTCCAGGCCACTTCTGGCAATGACTCAGCTAATGTTCAATCACAGATGGTTACATAATGTAGCAATAATTAACATAATATTGTCTTAAAATTTACTTAATACCCTGTCAGTATCTTATAATGTGTTAACTACGTGTTTAAAGTCGCGAATTTGTCAAAAACTTATTTGTAAATAATAATAAAATAAGTGTCTTACAAGACATTTTCTAATATTTGGATGTAATGCAGCCGGTCATTCTTTTATACGGTTTTATTAGTTTGAAACGCACTTCATTGCGCTCTCAGGTGATTCATTGATCTTAACTCGCGCTGCGGTGGGAGGGGTCTTATTGTACCTGTGTGCTAGTGGGTGAGTCCGCCATGTTTGTCCGTTTTTTTTTATGCAAACAAACACTAATGATTATTTACCAGGAGATATGGATGCATTTGTGGGGTCATTTTGATAAAACAATTCTGGCATCGATGCGCATTTACATTTTTAGTATTGAACTTAGCAGACGCTAATAAAGGAACTTGCAAAAAGTTAACCACGTGATTGCAGCGAACGCGGCTTTGTTTGGGCTGAAAAATTCGGTATGCGTACCACCTAAATAAATGAACAAACTCTTTTTCTTATTTAATCTAAGTATTGTTATGTGGGTCTCGAGTGTTTATGCTGCACTAAACTTTGGCGAGCAACACCGATCTGCAAACAAACACACGAGGAAGAGGAGGATGACGGTCCACAAGGAGAAAGAGCAGCTTCGTTTTTAGTTTTAGTTTTCACACTCTTATTTTTTTTTGCAGTTGTAATAAGCAAACGTTGTTTTCATTCCATATTTCTTCAAGGGCGTGAGAGTGAAAAGGATTTGTTTGTAGGCCTACTATTATGTAAGATAGTTTATGACAATATACTGCAATCAAATTAAGATGCATCAGTATATCTGAGATCTTCTGCAATATCTCTGTCCTGCTTACTTTTACAGTTGCTAAATGTAAGCAGATTTTACATTTACAGATGCTTACACTACTAAAACATGTAACTGACTACTGACAACACAAACACAGCATTAGTGTATCACTTCTATTGCTACTGTAGTTGCTTTTCACCTAGCATGTGCAGATGCACAGGAATAACTCATCAATTCTAATAGCATGCCACAAATTGCTTTTAATATTTCTGTGTTTTGTAGTAATCAAGAAAAGTGTTATCATCGCTGAAGGAATGGCAGGATCGGACACCTGTGAACAAGTGCAGTGCAAGCCCTGAAGAAATAAAATACTGGATATCATCTTTATTATGGACGACTTCTCTGACTAAACTAGCAAGGAACAGTTATGAGAATAAAATTAAGGTAAGTTAAAAAAAAAAAGTTGCCGCATTCACTTAGAACATGTTACATGTAATAATAGAAACCTATATACTATTAACACTTTCCAGGTGCAGAAATGAAACCTCCGAAACAAAGAACTCACTGCTACTGTAAGGATTATTTTTAAGTTTACCGAGAGGCTTAAACTGCTGTCACATCAACGTCACACCATTGCTTTCACCGACATTATCAGAAGAATCCTTTCAACATTGCAGATACTTGCAAAGGTCTGGAGCTAACTTATGGGACAGCCAAGTCAACCAAAATCATTCTGAAAGTGTTTTATTTGCTTATTGAGTGTTGTAAAGTTATCTTAATGAGAATTTCCCCAAGTGCTTTGCATGCATTGTGAATGCTATTTTAGCGTCACTACTTGTAGTGTAATGTTAACATCAAACCAGAGCAATAATGCTGGCATTTTCAGGACCCACAAACCCAGCTAACAAATTTCTGTTCTGAGAACGTTTTTCAAACATTCTGTTTTGGTTGTGAGAACGTGATTTGAAATGTTCCTAAAACGTGAAACTGTCCAGTTTGCTTAACATTGCTAGAACATTATTTTATGGTTAGTATAACGTTCATAACAATGTTCTTTCCACCTACATTTTATTAAAAATGCAACGTTCTAAAAACGTATACTTGGAACATTCAAAAGTTTAGTTTAATTAGGGTAAATGTACCTATTAAGCTCACCGAAATCTACATTGAGGCATTTTAGTGCACAAAATATTGGTTTCAGTACAAGAAGTTATGTTAAAATAAAATATTAATCTCTCACACAAAAATATTTGATTTTATTTTAAATGACAAAAGCATTATTACCATTAAATTCAAAAAGTCTGGCTGTGCTTAATGGGTACATTTTTGTAAGCAAACCCCTGTTCCCATTAAGCTCACATCATGTTTTATTAACAATTCTTGTTTATTTTAAACAACCTTTTTAAAAAATAATTGAAAAATGTTTTATCTGAAGAGTACAGGATCAATCAAAAAAACAGAACACTAAAATCAAGCAACAACGCATTCAATTTGATCAGTTATATATTCAAAGTGAAGTGACATTTAAGCATATTGCAACATCTAGTCTAGTCTGCGTTCAGCTAAGTAACACATATTCAAAAATCACATAACAAAACAAACCAATAAAATATTTAATTAATGGGGATGAACACAGAAACTAGCCTCATTATGAAGCCTCTTATTAAACGGATGTCAACTTATCTATAGGCTCTTAAAGTGGAAGTGAAGCAGTCAGTCAAGTTTACATTATTTAGTAAAGTGATTTCCACTTTGATTAAAAAATATATAACAAACATGATTAATGTAACCATTTTAAAGAAAAAAGGATGTTTTGTTATAGCTTTTAGAGCAAGGGCGCCGCCATCTTGCAGTACCACCGCATGTGACGTCACGGGTTTGGTTCGCTCCGATGGCCAGTGAAGTAATAGAAGCATTTCTTTACATTTTGAACACACAAGTGTTATTTTAACACACAAATAATTTGGTTTACACCATAATTTGGATGAATATTCAACATCAAACTGTCTATATGCTAAGTTTTGATCGTGGTATCCCAAACATTGTTTTCATAATGCCAGGCGCAAGGTGATGTAACCAGACAACGCTTCATCATTCATGTCGCATTTTATTGTTATGTCAGACCATTAAGACATATGCATTACATTGACTGGTTCACCAGTTGTATGTATCATATTTTATGTTCACCTGCGAATACAATTAGCTTTCCTGCTATTATGGACTTAACAGTGCTTTCAATGTAATCTTCCTCCATTTCAAAACAAGCGTGTGTTCAAAATGTAAAGAAATGCTTCTATTGCTTCACTGGCCATCGGAGCGAACCAACCCCGTGACGTCACATGTGGTGGTTCTGCAAGATGGCGGCGCCCTTGCTCTAAAAGCTATAACAAAACAACCTTTTTTCTTTAAAATGGTTACATTAATCATGTTTGTTATATATTTTTTAATCAAAGTGGAAATCACTTTACTAAATAATGTAAACTTGACTGACTGCTTCATTTCCACTTTAAGGCTGGAATACACTACACGATTTTTGCCCCGATTTTCCACAGATTTACAGTCTGGAGAAGTTGATGCTAGTTGCCAAAGGTCAGAGCCAGTCTGCAGATTTGAGTTGACTGATTCCATAGAAAATCGCGTAGTGTATGATGATCACAGACTGATTTTTTAGCTTCAGACTATGATTCCATCCAGTTGGAGGATGTTTGATATTTTCAGCTTATTTTAGAACACACATTGTTTTCATTTGTCATGTGTCTCCTAGCAACAGTGCACACGTTTCTGTGTGAGTTTGTTTTGATCGGAATTCTGGTTGTGTGAGATCCTAGGCCGTTTAGTGTATGATGCCCAGTTTTCCTTTGTGACTATTTACAAAGTCAGTAAGTGTATGAAGCCTGGTGTTTTAAAAATCTGTTCACATTTTAAAAGTCATGTAGTGTATTCCAGCCTTTAGTCACTTTTTTCCTGGACAGATACGACAGGTTTCTGATGGCTATTTCTTTGAATGGACGACATGCCTCTCATCTTTGGGCATAAACTATAGTTATGTCTCAATTTTGTCGAAAATTAAAGCTGTGAAAATAAGTTATTAACCATTTTATAAAGATTAACTTAAAGTATCAACCATCAGTTAATACTTAAAGTCTGTTTATGAAGTATTTACAGAGACGTTTAATGTGGAAGAGCTTAAAGGGAGCACACTGAGCTTAATTGGAGCATCAACCATTTTTAATAAATTTCATGTAATATTTATTAAAATGACAAGATTTTGCTAAATAAATAATCTAGGTCATGTATTAAGTTAATGCATATTTTATTATGAACAACTATTATTAACAATATCTATGAAATTATACTTTTTCTTATTGATGTCACGCTGAAGTGGTGTGATTTTCATAGTAGTGCACCCTTTAAGCTCACCTTACAATAATATGAAATCTTTAAAAATTACAGCACTGTAAAACCACAGACCAGCAATAAACTGTCAATTTATAATAGTATGGATGTAAAAGTAGAAGCCAGTAATGCCTGTGAAGTACTATATTAGTGTAGCACACAATCTTATACAGCTAGTCAGCTAACTGTGTTCTGTAGCATCTGCGCTTTGCTGCTAAAACTATCTTTTGGATCTAACTGTAATTATTTCCCACATCCAAGTTCCAGGTTATAATATGCAAAAGTCTGAACATGAATCTCTTAATTTTACAGTAAGTACTGAAACTTACCCAAAATAAAGGTTCAAACGTCTAAAAAATGCACATTTAAGGGAATTTTACAGAAAGTAGTGAAACTTACCCAAAACAAAGGCATAAACATAAAAAAAATGCATATTTAAGGGGCTCCTCTTTTGGTGAAAGTTTTTAGACAGCTTTCCAAATGGCCGCCAGACAGTGTGAACACATGGAGACTCATATCTCAGTGTGCACTGATCTGATTGACTTGAAATTACAGGAGGTATGTAGTAACAAATACATCAATTGACATTAAGTAGGATAATAAATAATTTTTTTCTTTTTATAATCTGATGTTAAAAATGGCAGTGTGCTTTAATAGGTACGTTTACCCTAAATGTTATTTTAAGATTAGCAGTGTTGCAACATTCTCTTTCAACATCATTTTTATTAACACAACATTCCAGATACAAGCAAGTATATAATTACATATGCATTTCAACAGGTATTTGAATTATTAAAGATGCACACTTTCAAAAAAAACTAATTAACAGATTGGTGAAAATTGCATATAATGTAAAAAAGTTGAATATTTAGTTTAACTATAACATTTAGTTTAGCTATTATTTACTATAACTTCACAGCTGAACGTAGACTTGTGCCGGTATTCGGTAATGCGATATATCACGGTAATGAATATGCACGGTA